ATATAAAGAACAGAGTTAGTCAAATCCCAGGGAACTACTTCAAAGAATCTTCCCCAGGAAAAATATAGAGAAATTGTAAGATTTAAGGGGAATTCTGCCCTGGAAAAGTGCCAGTTTGTGTAAACCACAGAATTACTGAATTGTATAGATTATTTAAATACCAGAGACAAAATATTCAACATGAAACAAAATAAAAATAATAATCTTACGCAATATTTCTAACTAAAAGATATTCTATTTATCTTTTCAGAAGTTGCCGTTTTCTGAAAGATGTTTATTTCTGCTTCAGTTATTCCTAAACTTTCCTTCCAGATCCTGTCAATTAATTCTGAAGCAATTGAAGAGATGGAACAGTTTTCCTCTCTTTTTTCAGTCTTGGCTCCGAACCATTTTTGACAAATAGCATCCAAAGGGAAAACAGGTCCTTTATGTAATAGCAAAATTTAAAAGTTGGAAAATTGGTATATGTAGACAAAATTAACAAATGAGCTTGATAATCCAGGGACAACAGGCAAAATAAAAAAATGGAAGATGAATTGAAAAAAAATACTTAGGGAGTCTGCAGGCAGTGGTCAAAAAAGTCAAGATGGCATCCATGATGGTGTGATAGAAACTTCGCCCAATCTTTTTGTGTGTGGCACTTGTGCACACATTCCTTGGTCTAAACTCTAAACTATTAAAACCAGAAAATACCTTTAAGCATAAACATGTATTTCATTCCATTTCATTTCATGTAATAATAGGTAGTCCTTTGGCTTCAAAGAAGACACTGTTGTGTAGTTCATCTGTGGACCCCAAGATTCACAGTCTGAAGTGCAGAGACTAGCATAATGGAGACAGTCAAAGTCCATTGTACATAACTTTGGGTATTATTCTGTGACACCACTCATGGGGTTCCATCAGTTTTTGGTGATGCCTGTCTCTGAAGTTGATTCTGGCTTCATGGTATAGGACTTACCAGTGGGTTCTGTTGGCAGCCATCGCTTCTAATTCCCTTGGTTGACTGTCACATTGATGTAGGGTTTCCTTCGCAGCATTTTTGTAGTGCTTGGGCGGATGACCTCAAGGTCTTTCTGATTTCTAGTTCACCACAGAGCAACTAGTGAGGCATATGATGGCCATCCATTCTAATGACATGTCCCACCCACCATATTTGAGCTCTGATGATCAGGGACTCAATAATCGAAGGAGGCATGATTGGAGGAACAATATTCTCAATGAATGCCAAAGATGGAATGGACAGCCTGCATGTGAAATTTCACTAGTTTTTGATGAGTCGCCATCCAGGATTCACCTCCATAAAGGAAAGAAGAAATAACTATAGATCTGTAGACTTTCAGCGTTGTGACATGTGGAGGTTGTGTTGTCTGAATACTGTGGCATGCAGCAGCCCCAAAGTTTGGCTGGCCTTGCTGATGAGTCAATTTCTTTCTCCAAAGAGCCATCACTAAAGATGATGCTTCACAAGTATTTGAAGCTGTTTACATTTGTCAGCTGGGTGACATCAACTGTTATTTTTGGTTCTCTAGGGTTGGTATTTGACGTAGGTTAATAAAATACTTCAGTCTTATTCAGGCTGATAGGCTGAAGAACATAGCAGCAACTGAGAATTTGTTCAGGATCAACTGTGGATTGCGGTCTTTTTGCACCAGGAGTGTGCAGTTGTCAGAAAAAGGTTTTCTTGAAGGACTATATGGATCCAGTGCTTTGACCCAACCCTTTCATGTATTACATTTAATAGAATACATTTACTCCTGTGTTCCACTTTGGTAAAATTGCAACCCTACAGCAATTTTGGAAACAGAGATTTTTGATATGGCTCTTGGGGTCACATTTAAGTAGATGTATAAAATTTCAGAGTATAAATTGGGTCCCATCCTCTGGCACCAAGTCATTGCTATGTGCTACCTCCACTTCACTTTTAGAACAGAGGGTAATGCCATCTCTTTTGAATGGGAGCAGAGAATGATGAGAGAGATGATGTTTAATTTTACCTAAGGACAAGCACTCATAATTCTTGTCCCTTCTATTGCACCACACAAGCACTGAATGTTGATGTGGTCTGCTGTCTAATGGCAGATGAAGATTTTAAAAAGCAAGATTAACTTGCCTAAACAAGTCTTTATATTAGATGATAATGTCAGATCTCTGGTCTGAGTGATGGTATTTCACTTGATAATAAATATATGGAAATACAGTATATAGAAATGATATGATGGCTTTTGATAGAAGCAGTGGTGGGCTTGGAATAACTTAACCGGTTCTCTGGCTGGGTAGGTGTGGCCGGTTGGTCATGTGACTGGGTGGGTGACGTCATTCATCACAACTAGCCCTGGCTTCCGGCCATTCCCCTCAAAGGTAGAGGTAGGATTCAGCCGGTTGGGGCTAATCCCACCACTGGCTGGCCCCGCCCCTGCCTATTTTTCAGCTTGCTTTTTGGCAGTTTTCAGGCCATTTTGGGGGGCTGTTTTTGGCCCAATATGTGATCATGTGATTGTGTATAGCAATCATAATTTCAAAAATTGGATTATTTGGGGGGAGGGTCCATTGTTACAATCACTAAGTGACGGGTTGTAAGTCGAGGACTATCGGAAAAGCATATTTTAATGTTTCTAACTCTAAATATTTTGGTTGTGCTTTAGTGAGAGCTTTCCTTACCACATCCATTTATGCCACTGAGAAGGTTGGCTGTCATTTTTCTATCAGAGCACAAAGAGAAAATATCTGCTGTGAACTTGGCATAGGTGTCAGGAAGAGCATGGGCTAGTAAATGCTCAGCTTCATTCAGTTGCCCTGACTTCACCCTGAATAAAGGGATTAAAGGGTTGTGAACAAATTTTAAAAAGTTCTTATGGTGCCAAATCTGGCTAAGGGACACCGGGACAGTCTTTCATGCCCCTGTTGGAGTCTGATTCCGAGAGGGAGGTCGAACAGCTGACAGGGAGTGGGAGTGTGGCTCCGGTGGTTGTGGAGGAAACTGGGGAAGGGCACAGTCTGGCTAGGTATTCAGAGGAAAACCCAGCCCCCCTCTCTTCATCCTAGGGCACGCAGGGAAGAACAGATAAGGGAGCAACATGGGTTACTGGGGAGAAAAAAGCCCTGATTCCCTTCATTAGCTGCAGCTGGGGAAACAGGATAAAGAGGGTGTTTGCGCACAGAACCTTGCTGGAAGCAAAGTGTGCATTATCTTTGTTTGTCAAGTCCTATCTGGGTTCTGGCGTCCTCCCAACTGTATGTGTTTCATTATCTTTTGAGTTCTGCAATTCCTTATCCTGCCCTGTCTCGTTAATTGCTGCAGCATGGTTTGTGTTCGTTTTTATTCATAATTTATATGTACTTTGGGTTCGAACTGAATTTCCTCCCTTTAAAAACTGTTCTTGGGAGAGTTTTTCCTCCAGCCGATGATAACTGGACTTTGGAGGCCAAGTTGGAGGAATTAAAGGGACTTTACCTACTTTTGTGACTTTGTTGCTTTTGTGCCATGCCCTGGGTCATCACACAGTCATTCTCTCTAAGCTCTAGGAAAAAGATGTTGGCAAGTCATTTTAGAAAAATGTTGAAAATTCCAGGGATCTATTTCCTTAGCCACCATGAGTTCAGGTCATCCTTGAAGGACCATAACAACTAAAACATCTGTGATCCTTCCAGTTTGAATTATTTTTGATTATGCACCCTCAAATTAATGTCAACTCTTGGTGATGATACCTTCACCATGACAAAAGGTCCCTACTTGGTCTTTCTTTGACTTCCAATAATGAATCCATCACTACTGTAATCATAACCATCTACTCTGCAGCTGCTTGTCATCTTCCACTTTCATTCCACCTTTCCCATTTTTAGAGGCTTTTCCAGAGAGTTAGGTTTTCACATAATGTGTCTGAAGGAGAATAATTTGTGCCTCCAGTGAGAACTCTGAGTTGATTTTTTCAATGATATATTGATTTGTTTTCATGGGAGTCCACAATATTCTCAGAAGATTTCCCTAATACCAAAGCTCAAAAACATTTTATTCTGTTTCTACATTGTTTTTTTCAGAATCCCATTCTGACTTCAACAGAGTGTCATAAGGAATTTGCTTGGACTGTTCTGATCTCCGTAGGTGTAGATACATGACGGCATCAGAATACCTTCTCAAGCCCTTTATGGCCATTCTACCAAGGGTGGTCTGCAGCATATTTTATGACTGCTTGATCCTTTAAGGTTGATGGTTGATTCCCCAAAGGCAGAAGCTATCTGTTATCTAAAAATATACAACTTTCCAAATATGCAGACAGAAAGACACTCCCATTAATTTTTTTACATCAATTGCACTTCTAAAATGGTTGACGGGTAATGGGTTTAGAACAGTACATTACATCCTTCAAAGTAATGTCCGATTATGAATGCTTCAAGCACTAATGGTGTTACCTAGTTTGTGTAATGAAACATTTGCAAGAAATCAAGCAAACTCAGAGAGGACCAAAGATCCTTTGTTTTAAGCAATGTATTATAGGCATTGTATTTATTGTGAAAAATTACCTACAGTAATTACATAGATTTCTGATTAGAAAGAATATTCTTTTCTAGAATATTAAAAAGAGAGTGTGTTATCTTCCAAGATTTTATTATTATTACTTTTATTGTCAGAATACAACATGTATACAATGAGATTGGCTGAGCCTCCCTTTGTGCACCCCCACATATATTTTACTATATGAAATTTTTGGAATAGGCAGTCCTTCTAAACATCCATAAATGAAGCCTTCTACAATGTTTTAAAGTTTGTGATACCTTTTGAAATTTCAATATTTCTTCATAAATATACCTAAAATGAGATCTGTTTGCTATACAACTCCTGGGTGAAATGAACCCAAAATCTTTGTAGATACCTATTTTTCTTTATTATCTTTCTCCCATTATAATTAAAAATAGGAATATTGCCTGAAGTAAAAAAAAAATGGGTGAATGATTGTAAGAGTCAGTTTGCATTTTTATTGTTTGTCCATCCTGTCCAACTGCAGAACTTAATCTGGAAGGGAATTATATTCATCACCTGCCAGAAGAGGTCCGAACCCTGTTACACCTGAGAAATATCAACCTGTCCAGGAACAAATTTCATACTTTTCCTGACCAGCTGACTTCTTTGCAGGCTCTTGAAATGATCAACCTTGAAGAGAATGAGATTACAGGTAAAAAAATATGTAGCTGTGCATTCAAGTGTCTCTTTGTTCAAACAAAATACTAGATAGATTTTTGTCCTCGATGTTTAAAATTTATAGTTTTTTTTCTTTGCAGGTAGATATTGTTTGACTTTTCATTTAACCATGCACGTCCCAAAACTTATACTAAGGTTATGGTTTTCATACATAACATGATAGATTTTTTATCTCACGATATTGCTGTTTAAAAGTACAATCTCCCCTGGTGTGTGCCTCACTGTGCTAATCTTGTCAGAGCGTGGAAACTAGCGCTTGGCAGTTGTGGTTAGTACTTTAATTGGGGACTGTTTAGGAAATCCAAGAATATTGGCTACTCTGGGAAGACAAAACAGTGCATTCATTACTGTCATAATGGAGTTCATCCTCCTTGCTGCACACCATCATTTTCTCCTCTTTAACTTTTGCCAACTTTACGGGCTTCTCAAGAATGTTCACCTAATGTTCTTTCATTTCTCAAAGGTGTTCATCTATGTGTCTAGGATACGTCTATTTGACCCTGCTCATTTGGGCCTTGAGTGAAAATTCTCAACTGATACACTCACGACCTGTTTCCATATTTTCATCGGACTTCCCCAACACCATACTTCTGGCACATTTAAGGCTGTAGCTAAAAAAAAACCCAAAGCTCGGTGTTACTCAAGCATGCTACTAGCTAAAGTTTCTGATTTTCTCCAACAGGGAAGAGAAATTGAGGTGGTTATATTAATTGCCGTTCCTTATACTGTATCATAGAGATCACAGACCAAGAAATTCAGGGCCAAATTCAGTGCACACTCCAAAATTGCTCTCTATTATGTCTCTTTATTTCTTTTCCAAACTGGAAATAAAATTGGGAGGACAGCATAAGATGACAGATCAGGGACAGATCCTGCTTTGTCTCCCTCAGTTCCAAAAATGAGTAGGCAGAACTGCCAGAACTTCCTGTTTCCTGCTTCCGGTGGGCCCCCAGAGCCTGGCAGAGGCAGTTTTTGCCCTCCCAAGGGTCCAGAGGCTTCCCCCTGGCCTCTGGGAGGGCGAAAATGGCCTCCCCTGGGCTCTGGAGGCCCACCGGAAGCCGCAAACAGGCCTGTTTCCGGACTTCTGGGACGGCCATTTTTTGCCCACCCAAGGATCTAGAGGCCTTCCCTGGGCCTCTGGGAGGGCAAAAACAGCCTCCCCCGGCCTCTGGAGGCCTACTGGAAGCTGGAAACAGGGCTATTTCTGGACTTCCAGAAGGCCCATTTTTTCCCCTCCCAGAGGCTTCATGTAGAGCCT